ACCCCTCCCTGGGCTCCATTTCTGTAAAGGATCCGAGTCCTGTTCAAGGGAAGGGTGGTATTTCCTGGAGAAACTTCCCAGGTGCTTCTAGTGTCTAGGGGTGAAGTCTGCCTCCGGTAACCCTCTTCCCAGTTGAGAGCCATCGGGGTAGATAGAGGAAAGGGTGCCAGGAGGTTTGTTCCAGGTGAGGACAGAAATGAGATCATGCCTATATTCGTGGTTCACAGTTGGGTGATGGCTCTCCCTTGAGAAGGACTCCTGTGGTACATGAACAGCGATGCTGACCGGTGGGTCAGATTCCTCTGGGAGCCATAAAAAGATGGAAAACCATTGGTTACATCTTGGTCAGGCTGCACAGGTCTCTAATTGCAGGGCTTATACATGTGCTCGCTTTTCAGGAAGAGAAGTGTTGCTGCCGAGGTTTCTCTTAAACCGCCCTCTCTCTGTTTTATAGAAGTATGAAATGATAAAGACAGAAGAGATTCCCAATTTGGAAAACTCTAATTTTTCTACTAAAGTCATAAAAGACATTGCCCAGAATATTTTATCCTTTCTGAAATCTAATTGCACCAAAGAAGGACATACCTATTGGCTCTTTAAAGGTGAGCGAATTCTTGAACGAATGATACTCCAATGGATTTGAGTGGCTCCTGGAAAATGAGGTTCCTTTGTTTGTTTTTGCAGCGAGTGGCAGTGACATAGTGAAGCTCTATGATCTCACGACTCTTTGTGAAGAAACTGAAGACAAATACCAAAACCCGTTCACAATGCCGGTGGCTATTCTCTTATACAAGTGAGTGCTGTCGCCAGTGAAAACAAGGAAGAGTAGCCTTTTGTAAAATTGTAAAGTGCACAGCCACATCCCCCGAGCCAAGTATTTATATTTACACACACACACACACACAGAGTCTACACCAAAAAAAAAACTTGCGGGGAGGGTAACTTTGGTTGTTTCTGTGGGAGGAAAGGGGGCAGCCTACACTTGAACCTTGCAGAGAATGATGAGTGGGCGTCAAGGTGATACAAATGTTTTTTAGGGTTGCCTGCAACATGATGATGAAGAAGAACCAAAATAAGAAACACTACGGAACTATCAGAACGCTGCTTCTCAACTGTGTTAAATTGTTGGACAAAAGCAGACACCCTCAAGTAAGAGTGACACCTGTGTGCTCTGTGAGAACAGCCTAGATCTGACGTGTGTGCCTGGCACTGAAGCCACTGGCCTTAGTGTGTAGCTGCCTCTCTGTGTCTGGGG